ATCATTTTTATATATATATATATATATAAAACTATTAGTCATCATCATCTGCGAATTTGAGGGGCTAGAGCTCTTATTCAAGAACTATTGATAGTTTCTAAACCTTCCTATTTTGAATATCTTGGTCAATATGCTTTACTCCAAAACTTCCTGTAAATAACTCATTGTTTGTTTTTACTAAATTTTGCCCTCAATCACTTCCTAATATTTCAAACCCTTGGAAACAGTTCTCTCTTCGATATTTGCCTTCATCTCGCCAGCCATCTTGATTCCCCAGTTGGACTGGCAAATAGATATGTCAGACTTCTTAGTCGCCTATTATCTCGGATTCGAGGCCTGCTCTGCTCTCTAGTCGCTATTCAACCTTCTGTTCTCTCTTGCCTCTTAGAGCGTATTCTCGAATCGCCTCCTGAGGCTACTGTTTCCGTAGCTTTCAAATCAGTGCCACCGATTGCGAAAAACACATACAATGATCACTTAATATACGATCTCCTGGCTTGCCTGCTTCTATCTGACAGTGCGGTAGATTGGATGATAAACGATCCCCATCCCAGCATTGAACTTTCTGATTCGACGTACATTGCTGCTCCTAGCCGGCAGAAGGATACCCCAGCCGACAATCACAAAAACGTCACAAACAATTATGGAATTTCCCATATATGTCTACAAACTGTTAGTTTGCTGGAACCTGACGTGCAGCCTCACTTCTCCAGTGGTTTTTCGCCTTCTGCAAGTGTTGGAGGTACTTTGAGAATAGATCCAAGTTCGACTGGATATCGGACAGAGGCTATACTTCGTCGGCTGCATCTGTTCACTCGCCTTTTGATGCCTGATCAGTCAACACTTCTGCGTGACTCACTCGGTGATCAACTGATCCGTGATCTTCTTCCTCGTCTGTTCTCGATCTTTACTGCTACTTCAGATACCTCCCTGAAACAATCGCTGACGGATGAGCTGAGGCCAAGCGGTTCAGATCGAGGGTAAGCAGACTGTCTGATAAAGTGTATTTCCATTGAAGAGAATAGCGAACAAGAGTAATGTGGACATCCACACAACTACTATATTTCATTATTATCAGCTAAGTATTGTCGACCACAATGTCTATCCTTTCATTTTGAGTAGGTGCAAGCTTCTTATTTTTCCAGTTATCTTATCAGCTGGGCTATTATCTGTTACTCATTTTGCCTTAAAACAGGAACTTTCTCATCGACTGGCCTGCCGGCAAGCTTTGCGATCACCAGTTGCATCAGGTTCGCGACGCCCTACTGGTACTTTGCAATCAGCTAATGCGCCCTTGCCCTTCTAGGTCTATTTGCCTCGCTAGCCTCGATCCAAATTACTCACATATGCATAGACGGAGCCGAGATATACTTTATGAGGGCACCAAAGGAGGGGCAAAGGCAGAGGAAGAGGAGGAGGTTAAGAGGCGACAGGTGAAGAAGCAAAATAGAAATAAGAAGAAGAAAACAAAACTTTATGGCATGAATGAGAGGGTGAAAAATGTTCAGAAAAGATGGATCAAACAACTGTCCATCAATAATTCAGATCGTTTAGCCGCCCTAATCGCTTCCACTCTTGACCAATCGAGTGGATTTTGTACGTTAAATTCTGGCCACCTTTCATCTTATTACTTGTTTGTTTTAAAGAATTTTAATGAATTTTACATGATTCCAAGCATGCTTTACAATGTTTTATTAGCTTGTGCATAAGCATTTTTTGAGACTGTCATATGCTTCCTATAGGCCTATATCTCATACATCTCATATGTATCTGATTTTGGCCATGTCTTTTCCTTAAAGTCGAGTGAAATACCCTAACAATAGAGATAGAAGACGGATCCTATGGGGCAAGATGGAAACTCGGATAGAACCTATGGGAAGAGGATTGCGGGCTTAAATGGCAGACTCAAATCAACATTCCCCAAACAAAGGTGGTGAGTGTGGGTCGGGTGAAGAAGTATCATGAAATCCGTTTAAACGAGCACATCATACCACATTTAAATAAGCAATTATAAAATTGTAATAGTAAATGGGTAAATACCCCAGAACAGAAGGATAGATACCTCAATTGTTTAGCTGACAATTGGTCAAATGATTGACTTTATTTGTCTCTGACGAGTTATAGTGTGGTGCTAAGACTGGCAAAGTCAACTGACGATGCCGGCGAAACGTCTGGAAATGAACTAAGTCCCCAGTCTGACTCTGGGAATTATCATGTAAACTGTGGACTCCCGACAAGGTATGTTTCTCTGGGTCTTTCTGCCAATATGGCCAAGTTGCGGAAACAAGGTCAAGCGACTACTATACAACGAAAGGAGACTGCGACTATACAAAAGGCCACGCCATCATGGTCTTCATATCTTTGATTGATATTTTTGCATGGAAATTCACTTCTTATTCTTGATTTTGCATATTTAATTAGCTGCCGAGGGATTGCCCGACTTCTTGCGCCATCTTCTACTCATTTCTCTCTTCTCTACAAACTCACCTCATCGACTCGCTGTTTTTGCCGCCAGCACTTCGGCTTCATTAAATGCCTTTGTGGGAGCACCTCTTAGTGTTCGAATACGCAAAACCATACCTACATCACTCTCGGCCGGCCGGTACGAATACTTCCCTTCAGCTTCTGATGCTTGGATGCCTTACCCAGTCGATCACCCAGACCTCTCTGATGCCTTGTTGCTGATCGAGTCTCATCGTCAGCCTTGGACTCTACAATGGCCCCTTTGTCTCAGACCTACCGGATTGGTAGTCCCAGCTGATAAATCGGACCAACAGTGCCGCGATGATGAAGACGCTGACGATGATGTGGTTGCTCAATTAACTTTTGGCCAACTTTTTCATTTGATGGTCGAATTTAACATCTGGCCTTCCCCCAGCCATCCAGGCCCTTTTGGCTCTATAGGTCGATGGCGTCCAGATGCGTTTCGTCTTGGCATACTCATCGACAACCATTTTAGGGATAGTTCTCCTCAACGGCCTATAACAGTCCTTCAGCTTCCTCGTATCCTCCAACCTGTCTCCCTAGAATGCGGTTCACGTCAAATTAACCTAGCTCAAGTAGCTATTCGCCAGCTACTCCCGCTTATCCCTTTAAACGGGCATCAGTCATTCATCAGTTTTGTCATCTATC